ATTGGTAGTGGTTACAGGTAAATGCAGCATGAAGATGAGGTGTCTGATGAAGGGTTTCTGGTTGGATGGTTTAAGGGAGATGTCCCAGTATCCAGATTTGAGATGGTGCAGGGGTGGAGGTTGGTCAGTGATTGCAGTACTGAAATGACGGATAAAGGACAGGATGGAGAGAAAGCATTTTAAAGTTTGACAGCTTACAGGTGATTTGCTCAAGTCGACTAGTTTTACAATAGTACAGTAATGCTTTAGCACTTTTATACAATTATTATTATACAATTAAACAAATTACATACAGGATCCTGATGCGTGTTCATAAAATTAACTACCTTTGATTGTATTTGAGTGTGGGAGTCTTACAAATTCCCTAAGAGCATTTGTCATCTTGTTTATACCAGTGTAGCTATTCTTTTAATATCTGTGGGTGTCTGTCACAGTTATAAATTATGAGCACAACCTCTTTATGGCAGTATTGGATTTTTGTATGAATTCAAATCAAACTGATAGATTGTCCTGCTACAAATTTCAAATACACTTTAAATGTCATCATGAAAATTGGGTTATAAAATACAATACCAGTCATTCTATTTTATAATTTAGGTTTATTTTTTTAAAACCTTGCAGAAACCCATGCACATCATATGAAATAGTGTATTCAGCCCTCTGTGAAATGTGCCATAAGTGCACTGGCAGGAAAGATCCAGAGGAGTCTGCTAATGCACTGCCTTTACACAGGATGATTCTGTTTGGGTTCATAGAGAGGACAATGTGGGCATCAGCTTTGAACAACCCCTTTGCCATTCCCAGAGGTCGTCATGTACTGCAGTCCTTAACACTTAAGCCCCGTCACATCTGAAAGACCAGACAGCTGATTTTGAAACAAAAATTCAAAAATCATAAACCATATCATTTGAAATGTGGCAGAAACATAAATATTTTTTTGCATCTTGTTAGACCCACTGAGACCTTGCAAAATAGCCAATTAGCCCCATTTGAGCTACTACTGTTAATGATGAAGAGCTAGTTTGTTTGAAGTTTGGTATTACATGATAATACCATTTAAAATTCCAGCTAGTCTTCCCATCTAAAGCTAAATGATACTAGCAACAGTTGATTTCTGAAGATGAGAGGGTAGAACAGCATGCAGGTCTGAAGTGTTGGACTCTATCCAGTTTAGTTAATGGTATGCTGAGTGTGTTACTTGGGAGAGATCTGGTGTTATTATTGATAATGAAAGCTCCAGCAGGCAGTAATTTCAGAAAACCTCTTCCTCATCATGGGCACGTAGAATCACTGCTGCACCAAAACACTGTTCGTTCTCTCTTGTGACTGCATATGAGGCAAAACACTCATCTCACCTTCACAACAAAGCAAGTGTAAGATCCTGATGAGGAGTTCAGTATATACGGCAGGTTCTCCTGGGGGTCAAACAGTGACATATAGGTCAGTGCAGCATTATAGATGTTCATTGTTCAGATGACAGCACGGTTGACCTCAATCACATATTGAGTGCAACAGAGCCTCAGGTCTTGAATACAAAAACCTTACTGCATTAGCAAGTAGTCAGCCAACCAGCCCTCTTGGCCTATGCAAAAAAATGATTATATACCTTGAGCATAATCTACCACACACATGTGACTATTTGTGCCTTCAAAAGTTTAATTAAAACACATGAATATATGCTCATGGTGTTTGGGGCTGTTGTGCAGCAGAAAACACTAAAGACATCTCCTCCACTATATAACACCAACTGGACAGGCCTATAAATGTCACATCCATGAAACCCTTAACCCTCAGTCCTTATTAGAACGCTAAATGTTTCAAAGATGAAAACAGTTTTGAGGAAAAGTGTTGTAAAGTGAAGTGTTGTCCTTTGTTCAAAGGGCCAAACTATTAAATGCAAATGGGAAACTGCCCAGTGGCCCCATACTCTTTAGGGGTTTGAATGCCTTAGCTCATCCCTGTGGTTTTTCAGTATTGTTTTTCTGACTACTCACAATCAAAGAGATAATGAAAATGAACTCATTATCTACTCACCACTAGAGCTGGGGACCACTTCTTCAAACATGTAAAAGACAACAGAAAAAAAACATAACATGCCTCCATACTGCCCCTGTGGTGTCATCCAAGTGTCCGTAACCCCCAACATTTAAGTTAGACTCAAAAAGGCATGGGGTGATCGGTAGCGTAGTGGGTTGTGCCGGCACCCCATGTATAGAGGCTACAGTCCTCGCTGCAGTGGGCAGTGGGCCCCTGCATCGGACGGCCCTTTACTGCATGTCATTCCCCCTCTCTCTGCCCCCTGCTTGCCGTCTCTCTTCAGCTGTCCTGTCCATTAAAGGCATAAAAGCCCAAAAATTATACTTTAGAAAAAAGTGATGCTACCTGAACAAGCGATGCAACCGGAACTAGTGATGCTACCAGGAAACTTGCGATGCTGACGGTACCTATCGTGAGTTCTGGCTGATCTCGTCTCATGAGATATCCAGGAATTTTGACATTGTTAACATTGAAAAATTAGGAATTTATTTGACATTTTTTAATGCTAAGACGAGTTAAGACGATTGATGCTGTCATATGCAAGTGGTCTGTCAAAATCTAAATGAATATCTTTTTCAGATTTCTGCTGAATGTTGTTTTTAGAGGAACTTGGAGGCTCATTGTTGCCCTGAGGCCCCTCACAGAAATCTAGCCCTGCACTGGATAGTTTAAGAGGATGCTGCACTTGCTTAAATTTAATTATTCCAACTGCTTCCAAGGGACAAGCAACCTTTCTGCAAGATGAGATTGATCCCTCTTCTCACTACTCTGCTGCTTTCCAGTGTTTAAGAATATTTTAAAACATAAATTATAATGTATGTGTAGTTTTGGATCTCCTGCCACTTTGCTTCCTAAAGCAACATCCATATTATCAGTTTCCAAAAAAAGGAAAAAGAGAAACACTATTGACAACTTGGAGGACTTTGTTTTAAAAGCTCAGTCTCTCTCGGAATGAAGGTAATTGGGATTTATAGTGCTTTTATATACTGACAATCTAATTCTTTGTCCTCACTGTAGGCCTTTGCCTTTGAGAGGGCTGTAGCTGATTTTAGAGTTAGGTACCTCTGGGCTGATATAGGAAGACAGATGACGGATAAAAATGTCTGTGGCGTGGAGGATAACAATGACTCATAATTTGTGTCCCTGCAGTGGTATAACAGCGCCCTGTTACAGGACTCCTGTATGTTTGTTGTTCTTGCTGAACTACGTGCTTCTTCTTTGGAAATGTGACTCATCATAAAAAAATTGTCTTTAAATATGATTTTCTTCAATCCTGTACCATTGATTTATTTTCTTTCCTCTCCACTTCTCTCTCTCTCTCTCTCTCTCTCTCTCTCTCTCTCTCT